AAGGATAGTTCAAGGGGCTGGGTTTGTAGCTTAGTGGTAGAGCATTCACCTAGCATATGCGAGGCCCTGGGTTCAATTCTCAGAACCACATAAAAATAAACAAATAAAGGGTATTGTGTTCAACTACAACTAAAAATAAATATTAAAAAAAGAACAATTCAATAATAAAGTATGTTTGCAAATAAACCCACCACATTGTGTGATTTTTTTGGTCACATTTTCAAAAATTTAAACTTGTATTTGAACTGGTGCTTTATGCTGGTGCTTTTGTTTTTATAACAAAAATTGCACATATTTGTGGGGTACCATGTGATGCTTTAATATTATATATACATTCAAATCAGTAAATTCTTACAGAAAAATGCAAATTTAATGAGAAACTCTGAAATGTGACCATTTTGCTGACCATGGTTTGGGACAAGGACACTCTGAGAACATGATGAGGCCAAAAGAACTTGGGTGGACCATCTAGGACACCTTGGATAATAACTGGGAAAAACTAATGAATTTGCCTATTCAGTTTTATAAGAAAGATCCACCAAAAACTCACTCAACTTAATTTCTTTTATTGAGAATTTAGAGTATATTTCTCTATGGGCTATGAATTATACAGTTAAGCACCACAAAACAGACAAAATGTAGACAGGCCCTCTTGTTTTAGTCCTTATCTTGCTCTGTGACTCTTCAGGAATTGCTTGAGTTAATTCTACTGGTTTCTCTGCCTGAAACAGGAAGTAAAGATATTTACCCAAATCCTGGTAGAGGAAAAACACACTCTTCTCCCTCCTCATATCAAACAAGGGTTCCCTTATTCTACTGAGCTGATGAATGGAGATCATTTACCAATATTCACTCTGGGTATTCCCAAAGGGCATTATAATTGTCTTCATTCTATGAAGTACTTCCAACACTCTTTCTTATAACCCAGTGGTACCTCAATTGCCCATATTACTTTCTGAAATTTCCTTAAAATCAGGACTGTCATTGCCTCACTTTCACCCCAGGAATCTAGGGTGATAGTTTACCATTGTTTAAAGTCACAGCATAAAATATTATAAATCCTCAGAGAAAATACACTTCTTAGATACTAGAATTCTAGAAATGAGAATGAACAATTGATTTCTAGACTGTGTCCCACATCAATGTGAAATCACTTCTCTTTATTAGCTGTTCAGAACAAAACAAACACAAATATCATGTACAAGGTTTTTTCTATGGTCTGTTTCAAGGGTTTTTGTTTGTTTGTTTGTTTTCTTTTCTTTTCTTTTGTTGTTGTTTTAAACCCAGGACCACTAAACCACTGAGCCACACCCCCAGCACTTTTTATTTTTTCTTTTGAGACAGGGTCTCACTAAGTTGTTCAGGCCTTTGTTAAGTTGCTGAGGCTGTCTTTGAATTTGTGATCGTCCTGCCTCAGCCCCCTGAGCCACTGGGATTATAGGCATGCACCTCCATGTCAACTACTATACAAGTTTTGATAGGCAAATACAAGACACATGTTTCTATTGGTCCTTTTTAATCTGTTGGTTTCTGAAATGGGGTTATACTGTTCAGGCCTTACCAGATAGATTAATAATTTCACATTCTCATATGCTATTACTAAAGTTTTAAAAAGTCAGTAATGATCAGTTTGCAAGCATGTGAAAATAAAATGAGTTGATATGATCAAAAGTATTCTATAAACATGTATATTATTTACATCTAGCTTCATGAGGAAGAAACTGAATTAAAGAAATGTATCTATTATACACTTAGCAGAAAAAAGCTGGAGCTCCTCAGATGAAAGAAGTAGCTTTTTCCCTAATGAGGAGCTTCCCCATGACAAACTGAGTCCTTTTCTCTGACTACTTGGAAAGGAACCCACTGAAATTTCCTGTCCATTTGGAATCCTGCTTAGGCATGTGAGTAGCAGAAGCAATATCCTCTGCTAAGCAAAGAAGCAAATCACTCACTGAACTTCTAGATCTGCTCAAGGGCTTTCCCAAAGCTCTTTAATGTTTCAAAGTGAGTCAGCAGATCCTAAACTCATTTTCCTCATTTGACCATGACAGAAAAGCTGAAAGTGAATTATCTACTTACTAAGATTGTAATGAAAAACAGAAAGCACTAACAACTCAGTTCAACATGATTATGACCTGTCAGAAAATCCAAACATTCTTTCTGATAATAAAATATTTTGCAGCAGCTGCTACAAAGAAGAAGAAGAAGAAGAAGAAGAAGAAGAAGAAGAAGAAGAAGAAGAAGAAGAAGAAGAAGAAGAAGAAGAAGAAGAAGAAGAAAGATGATGATTCCATCTCACTACTCAAAGTCTAACCTTTCTAATATACTAGAATCCAAGTAAATGGAGATGTATTACTTGAGGAGAAAAATCTTATAGGAAAGGGCATTTTAATAGAAAGAGAAAAGGAAAAAAAATCCCTGCTTTCCTTAAGGGTAAATGTTCCATTTGTGATAAACACTGAGCAGTAATGAAATATGACATGCTTATGCAACTCAGTCTCAGAATTTTCATTTATAATACAGCATTCTTTGAGTAGTTTATCAAAGAAATTTATTGATGAGTATCCCATCAATAAATTAAGCTAACACTGCATTTAATTTTCTAAAGGAAAAAACCTTTCCAAGCTGGCGAGTTGGCACACGCCTGTAAACCCAGCAGCTTTGCCAGGCTGAGGCAGGAGGATCCAAAATGAGAGCACCTCAGCAAAAGTGAGGCACTAAGCAACTCATGAGACCCTGTATCTAAATGAAATACAAAACAGGACTGGGGATGTGGCTCAGTGGTTGAGTGCCTGAGATCAATCCTCAGTACCAAAAGAAAAAAAAAAAGAAAACCCTTTCCAGCTAAATCCATTTTATTATAATTAGTGACTTACATTTTAGTACAAACTCCAAGGCAATTTTCAAAAAATTGAAAAATTTTTGGAAGGATCAAATAAGAGCAAAAATTCAGCAAATGTTGAATTCTGAGAATATGCATTTTTCTTTTCTGTAAGACTCTTTGATTTCTGTTTTCAGGAACTAGTACCCATCAAGAGATTGCTCTATTCATTGGATAAATATTTCTTAAGAACCCACTATATACAAGGCACTGGGCCAGGAAGTGGGAATGCTGCTCTAAACAAGACATGGTCCCTGCCCTCAAGGAGCTTACAGGCTAAAAGATGAGACAAATATCAGATGCACACAAGAATCTTAAAATATAGGAATCTGGTGAAATAAGTTAAATAAATAACTCATTAACATTTATTAATGAGTTAAGTAACTAGACATTAAACCACTGACCCCAACTTTCCTAATCAAATAGAAGCTCAGAACAAACTTTTAACTGAGAAAAAAAAAATAAGACATAGTTTGAATTCATGTTTCCTGTTTGTACTTTAGTTGAACTGGCTGAAGACACTAGCCTTAGTAATAATAGCCTCAGTGCAATAATCCATAACAGGATCATTACTCTGTTTCTTTCATTTATGTGCATGGATCTGGTGTTGACTTTTCCTAGTCAAAACTCTACATTCTGATATTTGCATCCTGACCACTATTTACTTTTTTTTGCCACATCTGAGTTGTTCTATTGAATTAATCAGATATTCAAAAGCAATTGCTTAACAACAAACGTGGTTTATGTTATACTGCATAAACCTGAAAATGCTTGAAAATTTTACAAACATATACAAAACATAATGATGGCTACCAAGTGCTGAATCCCTTACTATAAACTAAAAAAAAAAAAAAAAAGTGTTGTTTTTTTAACATAATTTCTTATAATCTCCCCACATACAACACTGCAAAGTACTAGTGGCCCTCCCTGTTTTACAGATGGGAAAACTGAATTCAAAGAAATTTTTCCAGCACCACACAGCTGATTAGTGCAAAGCCAGGAAAAGAATTTCTGATTCTCTGACAAGTCAACTTACTCTCTCAAGAATCCTACATTGGGAGGGGTTGGGGTTGTGGCTCAGCGGTGGTGCGCTTGCCTAGCATGCATGAGGCATTGGGTTTGATTCTCAGCACCACATACAAATAAGTGAAAATAAAAGTCCATCAACAACTTAAAGAAATATATTTTTAAAAAAAAGAATCCTACATTGGGCACAGAATTCTCATCTTTAGGGCTATACGCAATAGAATTACTATACAAGATTATAATAATGTTATACTAATGCAGTTGAAGCCTTTAAGCAAGTAGAATCCAATAAAACATCTGATTAGCAAATTGAAATGTGAAATAACTTCAGGTAAATGGCAAGTAAATGGAGGGTGTGTGACTACAGAGGCTTTGCTAAGATGAGTAAACTGCATCACATAGCAACCTCCAAGTCTGGTTATGTGGAACTTTGCCAGAAACAGAAAAAAAAAATTATTTTACACTAAGTGGGAGGTGGCCTGGAAACTCCTAAAGAAATGCTGGGTTAGAGAAAGCTCTTGATTTTTGTTTTCTTCTATCTCAGGGAAGCTGGCCCTACTGCAGTCTAACCTAATCACAGTGTCTGGGTCATCTGCTCTAGAGGAATGGTCCTCTTTGATGCAGCTAGTATAAGCATGTAAGCACACATCATCAAGGAAATCTCCATCACCACCACTGTTATTTTGCAAAAATCCTCACAGATAGCTTTATGAAAGAATAAGCATGCAACCCTGAAAATGCAAAATGAAATGCACATGAAACAAATCCTGCACTAACCTCCTAAAAGCTTTTCTCTGTCGTTTATCCTACTGCACAACTACAGATATAGGACAGCACCCCGAAAATGCTTTCACCTCAAATTAGGTTGTAAACTAAGCTGATATCCCTCCGGCAGCTTAGGGGCTGCCTTTCCTCCTCTTGTACAGTAACTCCACCACACAAAAATCTGTTAAAACATTCACTGGCACTAATGTGGAATCACTTAAAAAGAAACATATCACTTTGAGCTTGGGGGCAGCATGCTCGCCATCAATGTCCTTCTTAACACGCATATGATTAATATTGGTACTCAGGAAAGAGAACTTCTTCTGACCTTGAGTGTGCGCGCTAAATAAATTACCTCAGAACGAAAGTGGTGAGATCTCAGAACCGCATCTGGGAAAAAAAAGAAAAATGAGACTTCATTTAACTCCTTGTTCTTCAACTGCAGAGTTACTAATGACTTACCTGTGAGACCAGATTCAGAAAAGCACATTGCAGACACCTCGAATTCGGTGGGCGTATTGGGATAGGGAAGGCGGGGTACTGGGCCATCTGTCTCTAAGGGATTTCTCCACAAGAAGTTTCCGGGAAAGTTCTGGGGCAGTCGGGGAGCCCCGAAATCTCCATGCCTTACTTTTTTACTCCCTAAGCTCAGGAAAATGATCGGTAAAGGCCAGACTGCCCCGGACCTCACTGGAAATATCCTCAGGGCTTTAGCAAACTCAGACTTTGAGTCCGTTCCTCCCCTCCCTGCTCTCTGTATCTTGGTGGTTATCAAAATCTGGAGGAGTGGAGGGTGGAGGTGAGGGCAAAAGGGGCAAGGGGCATTAAATAGATAAATGTCAGCTTGGGGAGTGGGTAGTGATGGGGGTAGGAGCGGCGAAGGAGGGAGGAAGTCGCGCTTCATTTGTCAAATAGGCTTAAATTCTTCCTTTTAGCCCAAAGAAACCCGTCGCAGCGTGTCTTACCTCGGCTTCTTGAACGACCCGAAAAGACCGATTTCATCGGATGCCTCCCTTTCTGGAGCTTGCGGTGCCAGCAGCAGAAGAAAACGATGGTGGCGATGGTGCCCAGCAGAAGCAACAAGAGAAAGAGGGCACATTGGATGCTGTAGGGTCTCAGCAAGACGAGGAAAGCGGCGGCGATCATGATGCGGGCAAGGCGGGGGGCGACTCAGCGGCGGGGCTGGAGGGCGGCGGCACAG